CTTTTGATGACAATTTTCCAAATTTCCGCCTCGATATTACATTTAGCTGTCACCCGAAAAAAACTCAAAGTTTCATCCAATAAACTATGTCAGATTTAAAATTGAGTTTGTTCTTAAGAAACTCATTTCTTTTCAGTTCCTCATGGATTCATTCGTGTCAAAATAAAACTCCGTAATTCGATCCTACCGCAAGGTCGATTCTACTGAGCTCTCCCCCTCAAAAAAAAAAAAAAAAAAAATAAGAATTAATTTTCGGTCCTGGTCCTATTGTGTACTGGAGATAGTGAAACGGTGAATCAGACCATATTCCATACTGTTGTTGTCAAATTTTACGTTCTCAAACGGATCCAGAGAAGATTATGTGAGTAAAAGCTTTATGTAAATTTTGTCCTTCAGATAAAACGTTATCTATGTGATAACTGTCCTGTGCTATGATACTAAAATTTAACTTCATTTTTGGATAGAAAAATTTGAGTTAACTTGTCATTTTTAAGCCGTTTAGCAGACGGTTGTATGAACGTTAGCATTTGTTTTATTGCGTAGGCTTATGAGGTATAGGTGTCCCATTTGCTGTACACCATTATTTTCGGTTAATTTCTATATCATCGAAAAAGACCACTAAATATATTTGTGGTAGTTAACGCACGGCATTGTACGACTGACAGATGAATTTAATTTAATTTAGTAAATTTATCCTAAATTATCTATTATTCGATAAATTGTCTCGACTATATTTGATTTCCAAAACATTGGTCTATAATGTTAATAATCGTTTGTTCAAAACACGAAGTATTTTACACTAAGAAAGATAATTTATGGTGTTGTTAAATCCTATTAACACGATTTATCCTGTCATGTATAATATATTACATATATTTTTTATCGACTAGGTTTTATTGTCTTGCCATTACATTATTGAGCAAGATAAAAATAAACTTAATAATTATTTATGTGTATCAACCTGTCACTTAGTTTTAATATTTATACCATCTAGCTCTTCCACAGTTATCTAAAAGAAACATTAATTTAGCCGCAATGATCGGTGTGTCTGTATACATGGTTTCGGATTTTCGTCTAAAATTCGTGATTGTTTAATCCTTTTCGATTATGAAATTTTCAATTAACATGTCAAAACAATTATCTATATCAATATTTTTTAGTTCAAATACATAAAACTCATCTATACGCGTTTTTATTTTATAATTTATCATGTACACAAACAAATGAAAAATCAAAAGAAATAAGGGCTATAATCCTTGATCGTGTGAAACTCCACAATTGGGTGAGGTGCAAGGATAAGTGAATGTTATTGCTGTATTAGTTTTTGAAACCAATTCACAGATATCGGTTGTAATTGTTTACCGTTTTTTCTCTATTTTATTAATTGTTTAATAAATTGTTGATCAATTAAAAAAAAAAGAAAGAAAAGTAATCCTTTAAAATGTAATAACTAGTACCAAATTTTCATATTTTAATTTCTATTGAGCGATAATTGAATAAATCCTTCTGATCAAAATCGTGTGCAGCATCACAAGAAAAGGAAGTCACACGTCACGTTAAAACCAATACATTTCGCTCAGAATCTAAAGCTATGCCAATTCGCAAGATTATATACCATATTATATAGTTAAATATCTGAGTGGATGAGGTTAATATATATTACGTATTTCGTTTTACTGATCCCCCGTGTAAGTTATAAATCATGATGACGAAACGATGGTAGCAAAAAAATTCGTGGCTCGTAAAACACATAAATTCTAAACGTACTGCACGACCATTGGCATGTTACACTAACGTTTTTCGTATATAAATTACTTATAAATTATGGCATTTCAACGTCGGTAGGTACCCGCTCTGTTGATATTTCATTCAAAGAAATAATATTCAATAATGGCAATATTTTTATTCGGGGACAATTTGTTTGAAGATTTGTTACCGTTCCCGGATAATCGATAAATAAAGATAAACGCAGACGTCGGACCGTTCCGTAATAAATCAATAAGAAACCGTTGTCGGTGCGACCATGATCATCTGCGGCAATGCAGGGATATTCTGGCGGTAGGCTTAGGTTTACGACTCGAGCATTCCTAACTCGTGTAACCGCGTATGTATATATTGTACGAAGTTTTTCGGTTCAACGGATAACCGACTGAAATCTTAAACGGCGATGAACCCATTCTTGTGACCGATGAGAAATATGCGCATATGCCGACACTGGTCACCCGGACGGAAGGGCCGTGGGATCGTAGAAGTGGACGAAATCGGTTTTTTTATATGCTTCGTGTGACCGAGATGTGTTTTATAATAACAACAGTATTGAGCACGAGCAAATACTACGTGCTGATCGGACATTGTAATGAAAAATATAAATGGGAACGGTACAGATGATTTCGAGTTACGTTAGGAATCATCGTGTCGCTTACGTAGCTCATGAGGTAATATTAATAATAGTAGTAATAATAAATGATTGATTACATAACGAAAAGCAGCAGTAAGCAAATCATTAATTCTCGTTTTAGAGTTTTTGACATAATTTCAACGAAACGTAAACACAATAGTTTGTAATATTTTTTTGCGATGCGTAAACGTACAATATTGTTATTCACGTGCACAAAACATTTTTCCGTACAGTGATATTGTTCACGTTTATTTTAATTCTAATCTTTCTATCAGTAGAATAGACCAATAGTTATTGTAATATTTTTTTCAAACCATTTCCATTCAATAATTTAAATGATTAATCCAATTCTGATTTGTTTGGGTTTGTTTCGTGAAAAACTATTAAACTTGGTGACTTATGATATCAATCAGTCAAACCTTAATACTTTCTATACTTTACTAGTTAGATAGTCTCAATAAACGTTTGATAAAATAATATTAATACATAGTATTCATACTTTGTATTGTTTTATTGATATATTAAAAAAAAAAAAAAAAATATTTTACATTTTGTTTTTTAAATTATTATTACTAAGACGGCACATAGTGTATGCAAAATTGATACACACATGCATTTCATTGTTCTATAATGGTATTCATAATTTATAATCTATTAATTTGCTAATCAATTCTGAAAACTTAGAAATTATTATTGTAACAAGTGTAATATTTAACAATATTTTTTAAAATATAAGTAAATTGTATAATTTTTATGGTTCACATCGTTTTAATTTTAAAATGTTTATATTTTTATCTTATAAAAGTGGTGTTGTGTGAATAAAGTATAACGTGTCAATAATCAATTAAATATTTTAATAGTGCACTTATTGCTTGAAATTTATCAAGTAAAATATTAGATTGACTGCGAAACGAATAATTCATTTTTGTATTTATTTTCAGTTTTCATATGTGTTCGCACTCTTATATTATACATTTTATGTACATAATAAACATCGCAACGTTATTATTTTTTTTTTTTTTTAAGAAAGTTGATTGTTTACAATAAATCAAAAGATAATTTTACAAAATTTAAATTTAAGATCAATGTTATACCGTTTTGATTTATTTATAGTGGGTAATTTCATATAATTCTCAACGAGTTATGTTTTGATTTATAACATGGTGGGTATTACATGAATATTATAATACGTGAGTTCACTGAAAAACGACGCAATGTAAGCTATATGATTAATTTAGTTTATGTTATTAAATAATACAATTTATTTAACAAAATAATATATATATACCTATATATATATAAAGTAGCAACAGTTGAAATTTCTGATTTTATGACGATATCTACAAAATAATTAATATGCTGTTGACTTATTATTAATTATTATTATCATGATGAAAAATATGTCACAAACAGCAGTCTGGTATTATCCATAACATCAAAGCTGTTAATTTAAATTGCAATAAAAATCGATGAAGTCACATTGTGACGTTTAATTTACGTTATTTTTGTTACTTCTATATTGAACTTACGATATGCTTTCTCTTAATGGAGATTGTATAGCGTTCATCAATTATTATATTGCCAAGAAACTTTCTACATGAACACACAGGTACTCTGAATCAGCAAAAGTTTGACAATTCTATTCATAGTGAACTGTAACCTTTCTAAAACGTGTGTGATTTTCGATCACTTATCCGTCTAGAGTTAATTAGTGTTGAACGTGGTACAGAGAATAGTGGAATTTTTTCTCTCGGAAAAAATAATCCAGCTTAAACGCAATTCGTTCGTAAATACTTACGTGTGTTAAACTGGAATAGTTACGAAGCCTTGTATAAAAATATGACAGACATATTAAATATATATGTATATACATACACGATTTGTTCTTATTGAGATTTCCAGTTTTAAAAACCGCAGATGCACTTTCACGCTTGATTGTACCCGATAACACTATAATATTAGCATGTAAGGAGTTTATGGAGTTAACTGACGAAAATCACAATCATTTGCACTTAACAGTCAAAAAAAAAAAAAAAAAACAGTCTTTTTTTGAATTCGGAAAAACTATTCGAACATGTAAAGACTCGTCGATATTTACTTTGCGTTAAAATTCTGTATACAATCAACTATGATAAGCTACTTGAAGCCGACGCCGATTCATTTTATTAAACCATTTGAAATGTACGCAAAAGATTCGATGCCCATGTAATAATAATATAATATGTACCTGATACAATAATATAAGTGTAACCGCTGACGGAACGTACACATTACTTGCTAATCAATATAATACCGCGGCGGTCCTACCGTTCCTCGGTAGGTTGTCGTGCATTAAATGTAAATGGATAAAACTGAACTCTTTTAAAGTTTGAACCTTTTGAGACTCGCTGAAGTGTTGAATAATCAGGTTCGAATTCGACGAGAGCAATTTTACTATTCTAAATATTTAACTCCATTTGTTTATTAAATTCGGCAATCGTAGCAAAATAATTATCACTCGTGCTTGAGTTATAAAATATTGATATTGTTTCAATTTCTCCCAGCTATTTATATTCAATAAAATATTAATAGTTTCTCACGACTCGATTTTGTTCCGTTACAGGTATGCGCATACTGGTCATGTTACTATTGGACACTTTGCCGATGTTGGGAAATGTGCTGCTGCTGTGTTTTTTCGTGTTCTTCATATTTGGGATCATAGGTGTGCAACTCTGGGAAGGTATACTTCGGCAAAGGTGTTTCCTGAAACCGCTACCAAATGTCACTTATCCAAAGTAAGATCATTTTTTTTTTTTTTTTTATAAATTATATTTCAACTAATTATTCTTTCGGGACCAAAAAAAGTTACAACTTGGTTGTAACATTACATCGGTTCATTTTTTTTTGTTATATTCATACACGAGTATATTCTCGTAAACTCTATATATAATAATGATATATACTATAATAGTAATTTATTATTATTATTATTATTATTATGCTCAATTATTACATACTCAACGTGTTCTATAGTAGTTAATAGTAATTAAGTAATTCCTCTTACGATGGACATAGACTACCATGGGTGTATTCTAACCCCCACACACAGGGGAAACAGGGGAAAAATTATATATGTACAAAATAAAAAAAAGGATAAATTTGTACAATATACTTGTAATTATTTCATATGTTTTAAAACAAAGCAGAGTTATAAAAAAAAAAAAAAAATTACAATAATAATAACTGAGTTCTTGATAAGGAGACTGCGTTTGAATCGCATAGCGTTCATTAAAATATCAATGGATGTAATGTATAATATTTTCTAAATGTTTTTAAATATTATTAATACAGCATGCAGTGAAAACATTCGTAATTTGTGTATTAATTTTTATTTTTCATATCGATCATGCCGTATAAAATTTATTTTTATATAAATACACGGAGGTTTTATTTTTTCTTAGTTGTTTATATAGCATTATACGTGTGCGAATCGCAGCACTCGGTAACTCACAAGCGTTTTATTGTTTTACGATTAACGTGATATTTTAATATCGTGTCCGATTGAAAATATTTATTTGGCTTAACGTTCGCGTAAACGATCACTATTGGAATGAGTTCTGAATATTATTATGATAAACGAGATCCGAATTAAATAAAAATAAAAATAAATAAATAAAAAAGAACATTTTTTCAGCTGCTTATGTATTACAAACCTATAGCTTGTCGTTTATAACATTATAAATGGTCGAACATGTAATGGGCGATTTTTCCACGATCCAGATGTGTTCATATACGTCTGTACGTAATTTACTCGTACTCATTGCATTATATATTTATAGATGGTGCTCACGTGGGACATAATATAATTTCGAAATCTGTTACCTCTTCAAAGAATCAGGTGACCATTCACCGATGGCGTAAGGGAGATAAAATACATTGTTTCCGGTCGAGTGAAACGTTTTCATACCGAATCCCACACGTTCAATTGATTTTACTAGCATATATTTAAAATATAAAAAAAAAACCAAGTGCTATAGCTGTAAAATAATAAACACGACTTTCAGACAGCCGATGCGCAAATGCAATGCACATGAAAATAATGTAAACACATTGCTTTGGTAGGAATTTGTATTAAAATGTAATAAACTACCGAATATTGATATTATGTATTAAAAAAAAGTACGATAAATTTTAAAATATTTTATGATTTTCATAATAAAGCTTCAACATAACAGGTTTAGGTTAAGTTTTTTAATTTTTTTTTACTACGGTTTTAATATAAATACACTCTTAAAATATTAAATAGTTATTTTTTAAACTCTATCGAAAAACAAATTTTTAATTTAATTTAATCCGTGTAGTCGTCATAGGATAATTATTTTTATTTGTTATCTAAAACGGTAGGCTGGTGGTCATCGATCATTATAATATAATATATATATATATATTATTTGCTATGGTCATTCAGTATAATTTTATAACTTATTTATTTATTCGTATGGCGATTTTATAACAATCAGTTGGCTTTGATTTTCCGGTATTTTTATGTTTATAAATTTGTTATGAATTTGAAAATGGTATTTATTGTTTTTTCTACTAAATATAAATTTCTATTTACTTTTAAGGTTTTTTATACAATTAATTAGTATATTATAATATAAATTTTCAAGATTTCAACAAGTTTAAAAAAAAAAGTTAAAAAAGTTAAAAAAAAAAAAAGTATGAAAACAAATATTTTATCCGATAATGGGTTACTTGATATTTTAGAAAATGATACATTTATATCCAATGAAGATTTCGATTTTGATTCAAATAATGATATTGGCGATTCTTTTAATAATGGTAATCTTAGTTATTCATTTGTTATTGATAAACTCATATTTTTTTCTATAACAAACATGTTAAAAAAATGTCATTGTATGACTACAGGCTTTCAGTTATACAAGATTTATTGCCTGATAACCAAAATATTCCATTAAATTCTAGGAAAAGAAATTTTGATACTTATTTACTAAGAATTTGTAAAAAATGCTAAATATTTTTGTGTTGAGTGTCAAGATCAATCTATTTTTAGAAAGTTGTTTTAAAGATTTCTACAAATCAATTTAAGACTATTCGTTTATTATAATTTTTTTATAGTTTCTATTAATGTATGTATTTATTTTATATTTTTGTATTAAAATCACGATATTATTGCGTTATTTTATTTATTATTTTTATGATTATTATTAATATTATTATACTATTGGTTTTTGAAGTATTCAAAGTTAGTGTTTGTACTATAATAAAATATTTTAAAAGTCAATAAAGTATTATTATTATATCTTATCTATAAATTGTATAAAACAAAGTCGCCCTACGTCTGTCCTTATTACTCTCTTTCAAGAGTAAGCAAGTAGTTGAGCGTGATTTTATGTCTACATTTAAAATTCAAGTGCAAGTGTATCACTTAAGCCGGGAGCTTGCGACCACTTCGACTCGATTATTACAAATTTTTACAAATTTATTTTATTTCAAATTCAGATTAAGAATTTGAATCAGATAATATCCGTATGGAGTTAGTTATTTTATATGAAATTTATAAAACATTACGACACGTAATCGTCAACGTCCATTAGGTAGTATTGTATGTATATCATATGACCGATTTAGGAGCGACCTCCTAAGTATGCACGGACGTGAATTTGTTAATTTCGAATCTTAATACAGTGTCTAAGTACAATTTGTATTACAATTTCAGTTATTATCATTACGATTCTGATACTTGTTATTATATTGATGGTTGTAATACTGGCAACAAAAAAAAAAAAAAAATAAAGGCGCAAATTATATAAAATATATTACTTTATTTTATTCAATAGAAACAGAAATCAAAATACAAGATAAATTCTATAACTTGTTTGGACTATTCTTTCTCAAACGACCTGATGTGGAATATGACTACAGCATTTGTGTCATCATATTAAAAACCGTAATGTTTCTATATATTATAATACACCGGTATCCATATCTACAAGAACCGTACGTGCTGGTGATCTAATCAATTTCGATATGTTTTCTGAAACAAATTTTTAACTCTAAAAAACCAAATTAATGTTACAAATGTAATTAATCAGCGGCCGAAAAATACTGAAGCAACATTCGATCACTCTGAAAACTCTCTTGACGAATACTGTTCTTGACTCCCTACTATATCATTATTTATCGCAAAAAATGGTAATGACAGTAAACTTTACGATGGAGTGGCCTCCCGAATCCGAGCAATACAGTCCATTGCCGTTACCCGGTCATCTCGCTTGGTTAGATTTCGCACAAAAATAAGAGTAGCAACTTCTATAGTCATATCGTAATATATAGCAACTGAAAATAAATACATGGCAAGTCTTGAATGTACCCCATGAGCTTTAATGTCCCCGTTGTGGTGCTATACATGTGCATGAATAAATGTAAAAATCCACTTAAGTATATTATACACTGTCAAATATTATTCATTAATAATATATATTATTTCTGAACTATCTATGATTGCGGTTTCTGATCATCGATTAAATGTTAGACAAAACCAATCCATATAAGTGGTTTGTACACACAGTGATATATATTGTAGAAATGTAATGAATTTAATAGATTGCGAATTAAAATTTCTCGTTTTATTAAAATCACAAATTTCCAATATTTACATATATTGAAATGATAAAATGACATAATAAAAAAAAAAAAATTGAAAAATGTTTCTGAATTATTATTTTAAAAATATATAAAAAAAGAAATTGAGGATAGGTTTAGTGTATTTAATATTTTTATAAAAACATATATGTTATAACACTACCTACTACATTTATCTAATGTTATTTAATTAGGTTTATTTTTTTTTTTTATTTCATGAGGAGGTAAGCATTGTGTATTTAATTATTAATACATAAAAATATCATACACCATGAACAAAGCTTTTTAGTATAATTTGTAAAACAAACATAGAAATAACATATCAATTTTTGATGATAACAAAAAATCAACAAAATAATTAATGAATCAACAAATTAAAATAATTTTTTTGAACATCAACCGAAACTGATTGATATACTTAGACTAGGTTGAATCGATAATTATATCACAGTATCTATGCACATAATTTTACGATTTTAGTTTAGAGAGAGTTAGTTTAGAGAGAGTCGACTGAAACAGAATTTCGGTAAATTGTATTAACGACGTTCTAGGTAAAATTACAATATTATTTATTAGCAGTTGAGATTGTTTAAAAAAACATTATTTAAAAAAAATTAAATTAACTTTTTCAAATATTAAAGCTTCTTAAGCTTAAGCCAATTTGTTGCGTTAATGATAATAACGTTTAGGTCATTTAAGTATTTATAGTTTCTAACTTTATAAAATGCTTACTTTACCGTAATGATAAATATTGGTGTTCGGAAAGATCATCGTGAAAAAATATTACATATTATAATAATCAATGGATACCGCAATGATACGACAACGTTAAACTAACTCATGTCTTATGGTATTACAAGTAAATCGGTTTTACTTATTGAACGTTCCCTGATGTCCAACGTGCAATTGGAATTTCTCAGGACCCAAAAGTAACGACATTGACAGATAACTAATTACGATATTATTTCGTGATATCGACCAATGTTCCGTATTTACTATTAACCATTTTTCACTAGAGGATTACTGAATTATTATGTCGAGCTATGATACTAATGACGATGATTATTTTAGATCCGTCTGCATTAAGACTCAAGCCGTCGTTGTATTCATCTGAAATCCGTATTCTGCA